CAAATTTAATTTTAAAATTTTGCTTATTCTAGGATATAAAGAACGTCTTATTGAATTTAATAAATTTGAACATGAATTTGAAAAATGTATATCAAAAACAGCTGTACAAACAAAATTTGAACAACATACAAATCGTGGAAAAGAAATTGTTATATTATTAAATGAAACAATATCTAATATAATTAATAAATCACAAACAATAAAACAAGAATCTAGTGAAAAATTAATTGAAATGGAAGAAAAAAATGATTTTCTTGAACATGAATTAATTTCAATAACTGACTTAGCTAAAGAAAAAATTCGTTATGTATCTGAAGATATTTATAAAAGAGTAGCACAAACTTTAAATGATGAAATTAAGCGGTTAGTTCATTTCTTTTTTCTATAACTTTGAAATTAATAAAAGAAAATTTCATATTCATTGAATCTATTTGAAACTGTATTGTTGATTAACTTTTAGAGTTTCGACATTTGTAAGATTAACTCAACTAATAAAACATCATTGCTTTGCTGTAAAGGTGAAGGATATTCTAGAAGTTCTGAAATGATTTTAAAATTTTATTACTGTTGCATTGGAACATTCACAAAAAAATAAAGCATTTGATGTTTCAAATAATTCAAAAAATGAGACTTTTGAATTCTTGAAGAATTGTTATTCAATGAATACAAATACAATAAATTGATTTCTTTATTTTATTTTTAGTCTTTATACATTAATTGAAGAATTTGATCGTCCATTTTCATCTGATCGTGATCAAATTCGACTTTATAAACAAGATTTACATTATTGGGTTGAAGAACGCCTTGGCTCAAATTTACAAAATCGTCTTCATACTGCATTATATAATTCATTAGATATTGTTCACAGTGAAATAAAAGAACGTGTTAAATCAATACTATCAACAAGTGAACGTAAATCATTAGTTGATTTAATAGTTCCACGTTCGGATTTTGCTATATCATATCGTTTGGATTGTTCAAATCTCTGTTCTGATTTTCACGAAGATATACAATTTAAATTTTCATTAGGTTTAACATCATTATGGGAACATTTTGTTCAAAGTCAAAATAAATCAAAATATATATCTTCATCATTATTAAATTCTTCAAATGATTTACTTACAAAAACAAATAATTTAACAGCATTATCATCATCAAAATCTGGCTTAGTTGCATTAGGTATTTCAGCATTAATATGGCGTAGTATTGGATGGAAAATGGTCGCTATTGTTGGTGGTTTTTATGGTAGTTTTTATCTCTACGAAAGATTAATGTGGACAAAAAAAGCACAAGAACGTGCATTTAAACGTCAATATGCTGATTATGCATCAGCAAAAATGAAATTAATTGTTGATTTAACATCGGGTAATGCAAGTGCACAAGTTCAACAAGAATTATCAATGTATTTTGCACAAACAATACATTATGTTGCTATGGAAAAAGATGATACTCTAGATAATATACAAGAGACTAGAAATGAAATCAATCATCTAAAATCTTATATTGATAAAGGAAAAAAAATTAAGAAACAAATCGATAAAATTGACAATGAACTAAATCAATTTTCAAAACAATATTTAACGGTTGATTCAACGAACACAGCAAATTAATTATTTATTTAAACCAAATATTTTTCATTTCAACATTTCTTTTTTTTTCTCTTTTTTAATACTTTTTCACATACGTATGTGTAGTCTTGTTTTTCGACTGACTATTTTCTTTTGTTCTTCATTTTGAAGCAATAAACAATACCTTACCATGTGATCCATGTAAAATGGTGCTGTAAAAAATAATTGTAAATCTCATTATTCTTTAAATATATATATATATATGTATAGCTCAAAGAATAAAAGGGATTTAGTTGAAAACTATCTAATCATTTCTTACAAGAAGTTTATTTTTCTTGATTAGTCATGTAAAGAATATATGCAGAAGAATTCTTCGCTATTATTGAACAATTAATATGAAGTTTTAGTAGTTAATTTCGATTCCTCTCATATTTTATTTAGAATTTTTCAGCTGAGTTATCTATAATGATGGCCATTAGGACATCGATTGTCTCATTAATGAACAATTAATTAATCGCTTTTTCAGTCGAGACTATATGCAACTATAGATTCAAAAAAGTTATAAATATTTTGAGAAGACTTTGAATCTTTCGCTTATTGCTACAGGCGTAATGTATTCTTACAGTTACTTGTAGCAGAATAGAGTGGTTCTCCTCAGAAACGCCAGTAAAAACTGATTTTCGACTTGCAACTTGAAAAATTGCATATAGTTAGGCTTTAACGAGAATAATTTATTGGAAGATTTTTACATCATTTGATCAGCTCCTATCAAGAGATAAGAACAACAAATGCATCTGTATTTGTCAACGATGTAAAGTCATTTGCTTTTTAATACAAAGAAAATCAATATTTTTTACAGATTATTCGGTCAATAAAACAAAAGTTGAAAGGCCCTTAATAGCTGCGTGCTAAAACGTTGGTTCGTCGGGCAGTTGATTGTTCGGTCAAATTCACGAAGAATCGGTGAGTTGTTAAGTATTAGTTCACATAGATCTGGTACTATTGTTCTGCTTGCATGTATATTCTTGTTTTTTTTCTTCTAGTTTACTGATACTTTCCATGTGCTCTCTTGTTATTTCTTCTTTCTCATATGCATCATATAGTTGGTTTTTTTTTCATTCTTGTCTATTACATGTGCTTGATCTTTTCCGTCAAATGGTAATTTCCATTTAAGAATGCACTAATTCCAATTCTTAGAATTGATTGAAACCGATCTTGAAAACAATTGAGATTGAATTTTGAATTTATGTGAATATGTACAAATTTAGTAATTCTTCAACAGTCAACTCGAAGCCAAGTATTGTAATCGGTACATCTCTATTTTCTTCATTTCTCTATACTTTGTCTTTGTATGATTCGTCTCATCCTTCAATCTTCATTATCCGTTGGATAATACCCTATGAAGGGATGATCCGCTATTCTATATATAGTCTGTAATCTTCTGTAAATAAAGTATTTTTGATACGGGTATATTTTTCTCGCATTATTTACCGATTAATGATCGAGTGATGGAAACTTGATGGATTAATATACCAAAACATGAATATGAGGCGTCATGTATGGAATTGAATTCTACACATATTCTCGTCAAAACGAACGATCACAGTAACAGAAGCTAATTTCTTTTTAAATAGGAATCAGCAGCGACAAACTTTTCGTTACATAATAACATTATTTCTTGTCTCGTACGAAAACTTTTGTGCAAAACCACAAATCAAAAGTTTTCTACGATGAGTACGATTACAATGTATGCTGCACAGCACAATACAGTATGGTATATTGTATTGAGCAGTATTATGCCCAACTTCATTTGAAATAAAATCATGCAACCGGCGTCCATACTCAAGAAATCAATCTTTCTATCACTAATGAATGACAACCAATCGACGAACAATTAATCGCGCATCCTCCAAACTGGCAACTATATAGATATAACTATTAACAATTTCAAGGAAGAAGATTCGTGGGTCTTTTTTGAATAGCTTTTGATAAGAATAGGATAGAGAGCTGCGATTTCGTTATTATTAAGCAAGGATCCAGGCGTATAAATAGGTGCTGATATTTGATTGATCACCGCTGAATCCAGATGGATTCTTGGTGAACGTGCTAAAAACGATATGCTGGACCTAATGTTTCAGACGACCTTTATTCTTAATATAATCGATAGATACAAAAAAAAATTGTTTTCTTTCGATCTGCACCAGGCCTACATAGTTAGCTTGTTCTGTTCAAGAGCTGTTATAGTCTTCTTGAGAGTCATGATTTCAGCCAATTGCTCTGAGATTTAGTAGCAGAAGTAGGGAAAACTGAGCTTCGCTAGACAAAAATCCTAAATTTCTCTACCTGTGATCACCTTGAAAAGCATTTAATTCGAAGTAATTCACCATGTTGAGTCGAACATATGGTGAAACTTTTGAAATGTCAAAATAACAGTGTCAGATCATTTCAAATCCAAAAACAAATGTTGCCATATGACTTAACACGATAAATTACTGTTGTCTAGATGCTTTTCAGAGTAATTCCAGATTAATAGGCTGAAATCGTAGATTTCCAGAAAACTCTTATAACTCTTCAACAGAACAAATTAACCAAGTTTATCTTGCTTAGATCGAAAGAAGACAATTTTTCGTATCTATTGATTACATTTAGAATCCAGGTCAATTTAAAAGTGGGTGCAAAATATCATGTTTAAAATATCTACTAAGAGTTAATCTGATTGATCCAGCGCTGACCAATCAAGCTTCAGCATCTATTTACACGCGTGAGTCCTTACTTAGTGATGATGAAATCGCAATTCTCTATCTTATTCCTATCAAAAGTTATTCAAAAAAAAAAATACCTGAGAATCTTCTTCGTTGAAATGAATAATATCATGATATTTACATACACTGTCTTATCAGTTGTTAAAGAATTCATAAATGTCACGAAGAACATTCTGAAGCATTCAAAAAAAAATAACCTATAAAAGTAGATATATAACTAAAATGCACATTAGTATTATAATTGCCATTTTTGACTTTCAAAAATTTTCAGAGATAAGAAATATATTGAAAGAAGATCGACTCGTCGAAATCAAGCAACCATAAACTTTTAATAACGTCAAATTCGTCTTAATCGAAAGTAATCTTTTTGTAGTTAAGGATTAGTAATCACATTGCAATAAAATCATGTCATGTTGATTTTTACGATTTTGTTATTTTTTCCCAATGTGTCATCAAGAAAAATAAATAGATGTGACTGTTTTCACGGAGGTCGAGCAATATTCTTGATGACTCATCAACTTACACCATCATGAGAAAGTTAAAGCACAGGAAAAAAAAACAATTTCATCGTCTCTTCTTCGCTTTAGCATGCCACATTTTGTTTTTTTTTGGTGCGCAAAGCAACTACATTTTGCTTCAAAATCTTTAAAAATACTTTTAGATATTTATCATGTACTTTGGATCTAAATACGTTTATAAATATGAACATTCATCTGATGAATCAATATCTGATGATGAAGCTGAATCTTTCAGCAATGACAACTTATTGAGCATAGGATCAAGTTCAAATCGGTGAATATTATGATGAAAAACTAAGAAAATCAATTAAATATATTTTTCCTTTGAATTTTAGCGAGGAGATCGCAGAACGAGCATTAGCTGTGCCTAGTGCTGCTGCTGTTGTATCTTCGACTGTTCATAAACGTAAAAAACGTTTACGAAAAGCTGACACAAATGTACTTAGTGTAAAATTTGATCGATTACTTCAACCCGGTAATTAAAATATTTTTTTTTTTTGTATAATAATAATCAAATCATAATTGAATTATTTAGGTGAAATGCATGCTGGTGATCCAGTTTATTGTGTTGATTGCGGTGCGATCGCTTCCCATCTAAGTAAAATTCAAAATGAAGAAAGTCAAGAATCAAAATGGCAATGTGAATTTTGTCCAAAATTAAATACAGTTGATATTGAACAAACTGATTTACCGAAAAAAGAAGATGCAACATATTTAATTTCACCAGCACCTGTTGTTCATGGTTCAGATATGACTGGTGTTGATGATTCAATTGTTATTTTTTTAATTGATATTAGTGGTTCAATGTCATCAACAACATTAGTACCAGGTACATTTAATTTACCAAATGCACTTCGAGAACAAGAACGTGCTGCAGCTAATTTTGATGGAGCACCTTTGATTCGACAACGTAATCAAACATATGTGTCACGTTTACAAGGAGTACAAATGGCTGTCGATGCTAATTTGGATAAACTTGTTAAAGATACACCAACACGACGTGCGGCTTTATTAACATTTAATCATGAAATAACTTATTATGGTTAGTTTATTATATTTTATTTTGATTTTGTTGAATATTTATATAAATGAATTTTAGGTGATGGTACAAGAGACGAACCATTAGTTATACGTGGTGATAAGTTAAATAGTGCTGATGATTTAATACGTGAAGCTGAGCGTGAATTAAATAAAGAATTAAAACCTGTTTCACAAACAAAAACAAATCTTACGGCACGCGTGTATGATCTTGAAGAAGGTGGCCAAACAGCACTTGGTCCAGCTGTTATGTTTGCACTTAATATTGCAGCACAACGAAAAGGATCAAAAATTGTTATTTGCACTGATGGTAATAAATTTTGATATATTAATTTTTATTCTATTGAATTATGATTTATTCTTATAGGTTTAGCTAATCGTGGTTTGGGAAGTTTAGAAACGGCGCAAGATGAGAGAGCTGATGAAGCTGTTAAAATGGAAGCACTTGCCGAAGGAAATCGATTTTATACTGGATGTAATATTCGATCTTTTTTTCTTTTCTGCTTTTATTATTTACATAATTTTTTTGTTTTTTATTTAGTAACGGAACGTGCTAGAGAAAAAGGCATTAGCATTTCAGTTATTACTCTTGCAGGTAATTGTTTTATAAAATTTCAAAGAATAGTTGCTCATTCAATGAACTTTAAATATATAGTATATGCCAATGATTTAGCGAAAATATTAAGGCACTAAATAATAGAGATATGAAATATTGACTATCATAAGTCTGGTTTCTTTTTTGTAAAGAGTCTTGAGATAGACTCCAATACGAAGTAATCATACACAAAGACAGTAACATTCCAATGAAACATTTACCGACCTAAACACTAATACCATAAGAATTTGTTGACCTTTGTCCAGGATAAGAAAAATATCTTGATCCAGCATAACTTTAGTTCAGAAGTTTCACTTATTTTCTTGATTATTTTCGTTACAATGATGTCCACTGTATTCGACATTCAAATTTTCTGCCGAAATCAATTCCAATAGCAACATTCTACTATGTTTCATATTTGTAAAGGATTAATATTTATTTATATTTATATATATACTTGTAGGTACTGCTTGTTTACTTCCTGTCATTGGACAAATGGTAAAATAAACTTTGATTTTTTTGTCACATATTAATATTTCTTAATAACTATATAGGCTGATGGTACAAGTGGCAATGTAACAATTGTTGATTTATTAAATATACGTGATGAATTTGCGTCAATACTTGAACAAAAAGTCATTGCAACTAATGTTGAAGCAACATTAATTGTTCATCGTGGTTTATATATACGTGATCCTGATAATCCAGACGGTAAACTTGATAAAATAAAACGTGATATCGGTAATGTGACCAAACAAACTGAAGTATCATTTGAATTTGGTATTCGAAATAAACAAGGTTTGTTGATTTAATTTAACAAAAAAGAACAGAACTTTCATTCAAAATAATTTATTAAATTATCTTCATTTAGAATTAAAAGACAAATATAATATTGATCTAGATGAAATAAGACAATTACCATTTCAAGTACAAGTTATTTATACAACTACTGATGGTAGTAAAGCATTACGTGTGTTAACACAATTAAAAGAAACAACAGAAAATCGAGAAATAGCTGAAGTAAATGCTTATCGTGGTGTCATTGCTGATAATCACATTCGAAGTACAGCCGCTCAAATGATGTAAGGTTTTAAATAAATACCAAATGTTTTTAAAAGTATTTTGCATTTTAGGTTATCACTCGATGATGAAGAGGAAGATGATGAGGCACCACGTGCAAGTTCCAAATGGTCAAAACCTATCATGCAAAAACAACGTTTAGCTTATATGGAAAATCTTAATATGAAAAAACGTGTCGATAATTATGAAGATAATGACAGATTTAATGAGAAGTAATAAAATTTTTAATTATTATACTTTTTTTGTGGTAAATTTAATTTTCTATTCTTCTTTCTTCTCTAGACGATGGAAGAAAACAAGTGATGTATTAAATGAACATGTTGTTTCATCAAAACCAAAGAAAAGTTCGGCATCAAAAGTATCTTCCAGATCAAACGAAAGTAATTCTATATTCGGTCGATTATCACGTATAGTATCCGGTGCAACCAGTGAAACACCGTCGGAAACTGCAGCTAGTCCTACTGCAACAGCAAATGCTCCAAAACGAAGTTATGGTTTTGCAACAAAAAAACTTGGTCTTTATTCTGATAAAAAGTCCGAAGATCTTTATAAATTTAAGAATATATCATCAAGTTATATGCGTTCATCAAGTCCAACACGTAATGACGATGAATCAGAAGATGAATCAAAGACTGGTTCATCTACAGTTAATAAAACAGATGATGATGATAAAGAAAAATCAGAATCATCTAAAAATCGACATAAGTCAAAAAAATAAACATATTTAGTCATTATTTTCCTTGTATAAATACTAATTAACGGAAAAAAAAACACTTGATAATTATTTCGTTTTAATTGTATTATTAAACAAATATATTTTAATGAATTTTATTTTATTATTCACGAAAATAAATTTTCTTCTATATTCAATAAAGTTAAAAAATTATGATTGACAACAATAAAAGTTTTCTACATATTGGATATTCTTTTATAAATACATATATAACATAATTATATAAATAATATATCATCTAGTCTGCAACATCTACGAATGTAATGGCTACCATTTAAGAGGTCAGTAGAATAAATGAAATGGTTAGTAGATGAAAAAAATTCGAAAAACCAGTAAATTTAATGAATGGTCAGTAAATTAATGATTGATCAGTGAATTAATGAAATGATCAGTTATTGATGACATAAATTTCTAATTAAAGTAAATGATCAGTGAATAACATTTATTATCAGTAAATTAAATTAAAAGAAAAGTGTAGAAATATAAATGTGTCGTAGTATCATTCACCTCAATTGTTTTTCTTCTCTTTTACTATGTCAGAAGATGGTACGTGGTGTATATTTTCCTCTTTCGTTCTGTGACTTCGATATCTGTCAAAAGTACACAGGTTCCTTTTCTATTTGGAATTTTCCTTGTTTTATTCAGTGATTGAGTTTTTCCTCTGTTGGATTTTTCATAAAGCGATCGGATATTACCACATCCAAGAACTATCTAATACCTATATAAACTCGCAAAGTTTTATAATAACCTAGGTCAAGAAGTACGAGCCGGTTTCGGCAAGAAAACGATGAAAAACACTGGAACCTGAAAGCAGTATTCTGGTCGGAAATTGTTCGGATTTTTCCGTGGAATCCGATTGACTTCCTGTGCTCTCCGACAGGAACTGGCCGAAAATCATCGGAAAAAATCCGGAAAGCTTCCGACCGGGATACTGCTTCCAGTTCCATCGATTTTCAACGTTTTCCTGCAGGAGACAGTGACTTCCCGCAGCTTTCCTACGGGTTTCTGAAGTATCCGGTGACCGGAACAGTCGACCTGGGAAACGATTATCATCAAATGAACAAAACAATAGACTTACGGAGGGGGTGGATGTGGGTGTAACGTTCAGTTATTGTTTTTCAATCCTCCACAACCAAACCCACATCCATACCTACATCCAATGATTCACATTGGAAAACATCCAAATGTAACTGTCTAGCGTTTCTTAAAAACTATATATGTAAGCACGTTGTCAGTATGTGTATACGGTTAAAATATTACAAACCACTACCAGCAAAGACACTTCCAATTGGTGAAAAAAGAAAATTTGATCGACTAGTGAAAACTAACTGACTCCATTGGTGCAATAGTTTAATGTTCATTCCCTTTATTAGTACTAATTCATATATATCCTACTTAATGGTTCAGCAGGTTTCTTCCATTTTTTTCTATGGTTGTTTCTATACATTTCTATTTCTTTACTAAAGTATACTTTATCCTGATAAAAGTTGTTGTTCTATTGGTCAAAGCTATAGCTTTTACTGACCGAATTTCTCTTTTTTACTGGTATAAGCTATATTTTTCTGCTGTCATTTATACATAATAAACTGACCACTTCATAATTATTAACTGATACTTTTAATACTGACCAAGCAATATACATATTGACCAATGCTATACTCTTTTACTGATCGTTTCATTTAATTTACTCACTAAATATTATATTCCCGAATGTAATTATCTTTATTCTTCGTTTTGTTAATAATAACTAACTAGGGATGTACCGAGTATTTCTCGGTTTTTGCCCTTTTTTCTCGAGGTTGCTCTCATTATAAGCAATGCGGTAGAATTTCGATCAACATAGATGTTTGTAGAGCAAACATTTTTCTATCAAGTGAGAAGTGGGCGAGGTTGGTGCAACGAATGGTTAAAGTTTTATTACAGTTTTACAAGAAGCCCTAAAACCGAGATCGAGAGTCTCGGTCTCGGTTTTAGGGTTTTTCGTAAAACTGTAATAAAAATTGAACCATACGTTGTACCAATGTTTTCCGTCTCTCATTTTGTACAAAAATGTTTTCTCTACAACATCAAGTACTTCAAGAACTTTGCCAGCTCTGTGTTTTCACAATTAAGCATTTATTTTACAAAAAAATGAGAAACCGTATTTTTAGTCTCGGTACATCCCTATAACCAACGATGCAAAAATAATGGGAATATAATTTATGGTCAGTAAAATAAATGAAATGATCAGTAGAATAAATGAATGGTCAGTAAAAAATGAATGATCAGTAAATTATTTAAATGGTCAGTTATTAAAATAACTGGTTCGTTAATATATTTAAAGGTCAGTAAATTAATTTAAATGGTAAGTATAAACATCGAAACGTGTTATACTATCACCTCACCCGTGTAAACAGCGCCTTAGAGGCAATTAATAAAAGAAACAAAAATGATTAAATAATTAGAGAATGTCATGTTTTATGGAGATTTTTGACAATAGCTTCAAATATTGTCGATAGTTGGTGAACTGGACGAAACTCTTCTTCAATTAATGCAAAATATTTGTTACAGAATCAACAATATCTTCAGAATTGTAGACTTTATCCTATCAATGGGCTAAATCAACAAAAAACTTAGTTGGTATTCCAAATGATGCTTCAGAATAATATTGTATTCGAGCTAGTCATTTACAATCGATTACATAAGTCGATTTAAATGAATATCAAAATAAAAAAATTGACAATTTTGATGCATTCAAAAATCATTTAATACTTGGTGTTTGGAAATGAAACATGGCTCAGCTTGGAAAACATCAAATATAACTGTTAAGTTTTTTTTGAAGAACTGCATATGCAAACACATTGTGAATATGTCTGTTCATTTGAAATATTGTAAACCACTAGCAAAAAAAACGTCTCGATCAATGAGAAAAGAAAACAGAGGTAGACTAGTGAAGGCTAAACCTATATTGCTAGTATAATAATTGAATTTTCATTTTCTTTTTTGCTTTCATTCTTTGAATTTCCATATAATGACCTTTTGGATTTCTTCTTATTTACTCATTGGTTTTTTTCTATTTATTTTAATTTATTTTTCTTATATAAATTAATCTTTATATGAATAAAGCTATTTCTTCTACTAATAAAATCTGCACTTTTACTGATCAAATTTGAAATTTTTACTGATACTTGTATATAGAAAACTGACCATTTTATGATTAATTACTGACCATTTTTTAATTAAGTACTGACCGTCATACTACTGACAATTCAATATTTCCACTGATCATTTATATATGCTTTTACTGACCATTTCATTTATTTTACTGACCACTTAAATGATAGCCAAAAATAGTTGCCGATTTATCCAGGCATAATTCTCCAATCAGCAGAATATCGTGAACAGGGTTGTCGATTGTTTTTAGGAGTGGGGGGGGATAAAAATTTGGCAGAAAGTCAATTTTTTTACAATTTTTAGTTCATCGAGAAATCTTTTCAGAGTAACAAACAAGATAATGTTCGTCAAAAAGCAAAGACACTTCCAAATATTTTTAAACTTTCAAAAAATGAAGACATTTTAAGGTGCATGCAATTCAAACTTCAAGTCATTTTTTTTTGCCTTTTTTTATATCATTTGATAGAGCGTGGGCCGCTGATCACGAAAAACTTGAAGGACGTCGTTTTTTTCGAAAAAAAACTTTCAAAGTATGCAAAATTTTCTGCTATATTCTTGTTTCCAGCTTCTAAAGATATATTTTTCAGATTCAGCATCAAAAACTGAGTGCAGACAAGTTATTAGACCGACCCCGATCTCAAAAAAAATTTTTGATGATGGCGCTTCGAATCGCACCTAGTGCAATACGCATTGGTCGATTTTGTATTAAGTAAGAGATGAAGTCAGATGTTTTATCTCTTTTAACTCATCATACCACCAGTCACAAAAGAACGCATCGCGTTTTTTTTTCTTTTCTTCGTTGAGAAAAGTCTGTTTTTCTGAATTTTGGGCTAAATAGATGGAATTTGACTCGTATTTCTCCATTTTCTTCATAAAAACTAAGTTTTCGTGCAATAATCTTATCATATTCGGAATCAGTACAAAAAACTGAATCCATTGATATATGATTTAACCTTTTCCATTGACTTCAGTTTTTTAGTTTTCGGAGAAGACCTGGCTGAAATTTTCATCAAAAAATTAAAGGTGACGAAATTTTTCGAAACATACATTAATCGATTCAGTTTTTCGCGGTGCTTCCGAATATGATAAGGTTATTGCACGAAAGCTTAGTTTTTATGAAGAAAATGAAGAAATACGAGTCAAATTCTATCTATTTAGTCCAAAATTCAGAAAAACAGTTCTCAACAAAGAAAAGAAAAGAAAAAAAAAACGCGATGCGTTCTTTTGTGACTGGTGGTATGATGAGTTAAATGCGATAAAATATTTGACTTCATCTCTTACGTAAAAAAACTAGATAGGCTTACAAAATCGGCCTATACCTATTGCACTCGGTGTGATTCGAAACACCATCATCAAAAAATTCTTTAGATTGGACTCGATCTAACAACTTGTCTGTACTCAGTTTTTTATGCTGGATTTGAAAAAATATCTTTACAAGCTGGAAAAAAGAAGGAAGCAGAAAAGTTTGCACATTTTGAAAACGATGTGTTTTTTGGTATTTTTCGACCCAGAAGAAGCATTTTCTGGCGCTAAAAAGTAGTTTTTCGTTATCAGCAGCTCACACTATCAAATGACGTAACAGAAAGGTGAAAAAAAAAATTTTGCTTGAAATTCGCATTGCCAGCACCTTATATATAACATATTTATTGTTCACTGTGCCGATGACGAATGGGTTCGTTGAAATATAAATTATTTTGAATAAAATAAGTTCAATTCACTTTTACACGTCGTATATTGGACACAGCTGGAATCACAACCCAACAATGAGCAGTAAAGCAGACCGAAATTCACCAAAAATTTTAGGCAAAGAGTACATATGAGCTTTCTGCCAA